TCTCCCCGACTCCCTGAGTGACAGGGGGGAGCTCCTCAACCACTTTATGGGCCCTGCTCTGTGCGTGACAGGGGGTGGTGCTGCAACCTCCCCATCGACCTTGCCTTGAGTGTGACAGGGGGCAGTGCCCCACCCCCCCAATCGGCCCTGCCCTGAGCGTGACTGATGGTGGCATCGCACCCTCCCAATCCGTCCTGCTCTGTGCATGACAGGGGGCGTCGCCCCAACTCCCCAATCAGCCCTGCTCTGAGCCCGACCAGGGGCTGCACCTAGGGATTGGGCCTGCCCTCTGGGAGTGGGCCTAAGCCAGCAGGTCGTTATCTCCCAAAGGGTCCCAGACTGCGAGAGGGCACAGGCCAGGCTGAGAGACCCCCCCCTTCCCCCCCGAGTGCACAGATTTTTGTGCACCGGGCCTCGTTTTTATATAAGAAAAAATTAATTTTAGGAATATGTAAATCAATAATGCTACAGAAATTATAAAAGGTTTGGTCAAGAAAATTACTAATATTCTATATAAAACATAAAATTATTCACTATAGCACTTCATGCTTCCTTATTTCCCTTTGGCTAAAAGAACTGCAAATACCTCATTTAAAAAAGTCAAACAACTTTACAGAATTTACTATAAATCTCTTAAGGACTATTTGTATGAAGACTCAATATAATACCAATGAATAACAATAACAACTTACAGGTATTTCAATTTTAGCTTTAAGCGTCTGGTCTTTCTTAATATTCTGAACTTGAATTGCAGGTCCTGATAAAATACTGGTTCCAGAACTACTGCAATCCACAGTGTAGACTGGAAGATTAGGAGCACCTAAAAACTAGTAGAAGCACAAAAAATCATTGAAGACCTCAATAATTTACTAAATAATTGTTTAAATTTTCAAGTACTTCATTAGAGCTATTATTTCTGGGTATAAATTAGAAAATTCTAAGTAAAATTCACTAATATTCTAGGGAATTTATGACTGAAAAGTTAATTTTTTTATATATCTGGGTAAAATTTATGTTTTGGAAGAAAATCTGACTCTCAACGAATATTATTCCTTTTTTTGACTTTACATACTAGGGTTTTCCTTTCCTTTTAGTCATCTTCATTTATCCATCCATCCATCCATCCATCCCCAATCCTGAAGGATTTCTATTCATAAATTAAATACTTCACCTGAAATGAGGTGACTGGACCAAGGAAGGAGAGGAAGGGAATCTTTAGTTCATAAATTTCTTTATGAAACTCAGTGTTGCTGACATTTTTATTGGCTTAGGGATCCTGAAAACTATTGGCAATACAATATCCCACAAATTTCTCCATGGAATAATCATTCAAGACCTAGATACTATACAAGACTTACTAAAAGCAGATAAAAATATAGTTATTTCCCTTTACTACAATGGGATTCAAAATAAAATCTACATATTCTTTATCGTACAATAGCTTACCTTACAATGAACAACCAATTTTGGTTGTGTTGTTATATTGTCTGATTCATCCAAAACTTCTACCTGAAATGGGAAAGCTGTTCCATTTTCTATAACTAAAAATTCAGAATCAGGTTTCACTTTCAATTGATGAGGGGGACCTACAAGGAAATTATATAATGAAATACAGAATCAAGTTTCCAAGACTGAAGCATAGAAATATCAAAAGAAATAATTTTTAACATTTCAAGTTTTAATATTTTATAAATAATGCTGAGAAAGGAAAAACTAAGCTGTAGGGAGCAGCTATAGGGTTAAGCCTCGACTGACCTGTTGGCAAAGCCACAAACAAGTCCCAGCTTAGAGGGCACAGCCCTCTTAGCACAATTAAGCTTGACCTTATGGCCTCCCTAGATCCGTCCTGGGTAGCTAATGGGCTGTGGGAGGTGCAGCAACTGCTGCCAAAATAAGTGAAACTCACAAGAACATTGTAACTATGGTGACCACTACCTTGTTTACCTCTGACTATAAAGTAAAACATCCGCTTGACATCTGGATCTCTCTCAGCCAGGCATGGGAGATCCACCGAGCCCCAGTTTATTCTCTTTGTCTGACTTTTCTTTAATCCTTCGCCCCCAGCAGCTCACCGAACCGTTGGCTGTGCTGGCCCGGCACACTAAGCCATTGGTCAGCAAACTGCGGCTCGCGAGCCACATGTGGTTCTTTGGCCCCTTGAATGCGGCTCTCCCACAAAATACCAACTTCTGTGCATGGGCCACGAAGTTTCAATCGCACTGCATGTGCGCGCCTGCACGTGGTATTTTGTGGAAGAGCCACACTCGAGGGGCCAAAGAACCGCATGTGGCTCGCGAGCTGCAGTTTGCCTACCACTGCACTAAGCCCTATCCATGTTTTATCATTTCTATTCCCCAAATGCATAAATTCTGTATCTGATCAGGGTTGTCTCAATTGCATAAAAATGCCTGATGTCTTTTACGATTCTCTCTTTGTCTTTTGCTCTTGGCATTTTAATTATGATGTGTCTTGGTGTGGTTCTCTTTGGATTCCTTTTGTTTGGGGCTCTCTGTGCTTCCTGGACTTGTAAGTCTATTTCTTTCACCAGGTAGGGGAAGTTTTCTGTCATTATTTCTTCAAATAGGTTTTCAATATCTTGCCCTCTCTCTTCTTCTGGTACCCCTATAATTCTGATGTTGGTGGGGGGTGTGGGAAGAGACTGGACAAAAATCGGACACCTATGAATGAGGACAGTGGTGGGGAAGTAAGGGCAGAGGGTGGGGTGGGAACCAGGTGGAGGGGAGCTATGGGAGGAAAAGAGGAACAACTGTAATAATCTGAACAATAAAGATTCAATTAAAAAAAATAAATATTTTTTAAAAGCCTGATGTCTAGACTTAGTTTTATGCAACAAACTGACACAGTGGTAACTCATGCTAGAAATCACCTATATACATACATTTTTTAAAAAGAACCTGTAGCCAAGACTGGTTTGGCTCAATGGATGGAGCGTCGGCCTGCGGACTGGGAGGTCCCGGGTTCGATTCCGGTCAGGGGCATGTACCTGGGTTGCGGGCACATCCCCAGTGGGAGATGTGCGGGAGGCAGCTGATTGATGTTTCTCTCTCATCGATGTTTCTAACTCTCTATCTCTCTCCCTTCCTCTCTGTACAAAATCAATAAAATATATTCAAAAAAATAAATAAATAAATAAAAAATAAAAAGAACCTGGAAAAAAAAGTAGTCAAGAAGAAAAGCAAAGTTTATCATACTTATACTAACTTAAACTTTATACAATGACTGATTTCTCAGGCACATGTAACTACATGCTTGTTTAAAGGATAATGTTCAAACGATCAGTTCATGTAGTGATATAACCAGATAATTTGTCAGACTGCCTACTACTTTGCTGTCATAAGCAAATTACAACACAGCTCTAAGATCAGTAAGAGGCCTTACACTTCTGTAGCAAGATGACTTGATGTGTTCTATAAACACTGGTATTTTTAAAATTCAATTTATGCTAAATGCTGATAACACAGGTTTATAAAGAACAGTACTAGAAACACTTATTTTACTTAATTTTCTTACTCTATGCCAGGCACCATGTTAAGTTTTAATTAAGTACTATCCTAATATATAAAAACCCTGGGTCCGTCACAACCGGAGGCTCGACCAACCGGAAGTCAGTCCTGCAGTCAGCGCTGGGTTGCTGTGGCGACCCAGCACTGACTCCAGCCGCTGTGAATCAGGCCCGAAGAGAGGCCTGAAGAGAGAAGCAGGGTCTGATCCATAGCCTGTGTGACAGCTGTTGATCAGCATTTGCCTCTCTCTTTCTCTCCCAGCTGGGCCAGCAGCTGAGCCTCCATTTCTCTCCAGGCCACCACCTGGGCTGCTGAGCAGGCTCTGTTGATAGGTACAGAGACACCGACTGGCATAGAAACTGACCAATCAGAACCAAATCTGGGTCAACTGTGAGGAGCCAATGGCTGCCTAGGAGGCAGAGCCTTTGACACTGACTGGCATAGAAACCAAGCAATCAGAATCAAATTGGCCAGCAGAGGAGGGCAGTTGGGGGCGATATCAAGCCGGCAGGGGAGAGCAGTTGGGAGTGAGATAAGGCCGGCAGTGGAGGGCAGTTACCGCGATCAGGCAGGCAGGCAGGCAGGCAGCCAGGCAGGCAAAGGCAGTTATGGGTGATCAGGCAGGCAGGCGAGTGGTTAGGAGCCAGCAGTCCCAGATTGCCTGTGGGATCGGACCTAAACCGGCAGTTGGACATCCCCCAAGGGTCCACAATTGGAGAGGGTGCAGGCTGGGCTGAGGGAACCCCTCCATGCATGAATTTCGTGCACCAGGCAACTAGTCTATAACAATAAAGCATAATATGCAAATCAGACTGAACGTCCTTTTGGATGAAGCCAGGGCTGCGAGAAGAGCCTGGATCCTCGGTGCCTGCCGGCAGCCAGGGGGAAAGCCGGGTCCCAGATGCCAGAGAAAGCCGGTGCCAGCAGCCGAGGGAAGGCCTACTCATGCATGAATTTTGTGCATCAGGCCTCTAGTTCTCATATAATCCTCACAATGATCTTAATAAAGAAGGTAATGTTATTATCTCCATTTTATAGAGAAGGTACTGAGATCCAGAGAGATTAAGTATCTTGTTCAGGACAAATGGCTAGAGAGTAGCAGATTCAGGTTAAAGTTCTGGTTTATACTATGAAACCTGATGACCACTATCACTATACTGTGCTACTTCCTACTTTATAACTTTCAGTCTTGAATTCCAAAAAATGTCAGAACCAACTGGTTACTAAGAATTTCACTACTCCAATTCCTACTTTTAGCTAAACTCTAAAATAAAAGAACTATGTGTTTAGTAACATGTAATACTTTATTATACTTTATTTTTTATTGTTTTTAATTACATCTTAATTGTTCAGATTATTAGTTGTTCCTCTTTTTCCCCCCATAGCTCCCCTCCACCTGGTTCCCTCCCCACCCTCTGCCCTTACCGCCCCACCACTGTCCTCATTCATAGGTGTCCGATTTTTGTCCAGTCTCTTCCCGCACCCCCTACACCTCTTTCCCCCAGAGAATAGTCAGTCCACTCCCTTTCTATGACCCTGATTCTATTATATTCACCAGTTTATTCTGCTCATCAGATTTTTTATTCATTTGATTTTTAGATTCACTTGTTGATAGATAAGTATTTGTTGTTCATAATTTTTATCTTTACCTTTTTCTTCTTCTTCCTCTCTGTGAAAAAAACAATAAAATACAAAAAAATAAAATAAATAAATAAAAAAAACCTTATAACTCACTAACAAATGGTCTGTGCACTTAGGAAAACCATTTGGCAGTTCCTTATATGATTGTTAAGATCAAATTGTTAATCCTAGAGTTACTACATAACCCAGGAATTTTATTCTTAGGTACAATGCCCAAGAGAATTGAAAATATATGTCCTCACAAAAATGTACACACTA